AAAAAAATAGACGTCAGCATATATATGTTATGTATTTTTGTGGTAGGTAGATCATTTTGGCTTCGTCATTTTTTAAAGAGATCACATGCTAAAAAGTGTTTGCACCCCTGATGTAATGTATTTTATAGAGATTCCATCCTTTTGCGTAAGAATATTTTATAGAATTATCGCTACATATATTATATTACTTGATATGTCCATTCTCTAAAACGTAAGTTGATTTACGTCCTATCTTTCTCAGTGTCCGTTTTCTGAACAGCACAAATAATACAAGTCAATGATAGAGAAAAGAAACTATTTAAGGCATGCATTTTTTCTGATTAGGTAAGGTTTAAATGTGCTTCTATTATTAATTATCACTGTGGGCAAAACACACGGTCAGAATAAAATATTTACAAAATGTGCATAGTGACACAGATTGCCCTTTTAACCAAAAACGTCCCCAAAACCAGTAGAGACTTAATGGTGTGCTTTAAATAGTTTTGGGTACATGTCGGTATGCTTGTTAACATCTGGTTGAGATTTTTATGATTGTCCCCCAAAATTAAAGCTTTCTGATAGGACGAAATGATGCTATACCCCTGCATCCCCTTCAACAAAAGGAAATACATGGCTCATGAACCTTTTCTCGGGAGACAAATCTGCTCAGATTGAAAAAAAACCGTCTACATTGAATGATCCAATTAAGCTTGATACAGCATCACCTTGACCAACCAGAGGATTCAAAACTAATCATGCCAACAAATCCAATAACGTTTGTAAAACGATATCAAGAAGCAGTAGAACTACAAAAACATGGTTTTGATCAAAGAAATAAGACTCAAGTCTAATTATCTCTCACTGGCAGAAAACCATGCGAATCTGACTAATTCACTCGTATGCACTTCTTGAAAAGTGGTCTTATATTACGTTCTAATTAGACAGGTTAGCTTTTAATAGCTTGATTCTTAGACTGCACCTTCCGCCGATGATGTAAAACATCAGGTGTGATAGTTTTGTTATTGTCAGTTTAAGATCCCCCCACTTCCCGTTTTCTACGCAGTACTTCTTTTTAGACGATAAATATGTCGATGATTCATGCATAATTCTATGTAATAGTTATTACAATCGTTATTGCAGCTGCATTAGTGATTTTGGAATGCCTTGGACATTATGGTATTTACCAAACGTAAATATTATAATGACCAGGGCATTCGAAAGCTCCTATATAAATGCAATAACAGATTGTAATAAATATTACATAGAGTTATGGATGACTCATAAACAGATTTATCGTTTAAAAGGAAGTACTGCGTAGAAAACGGGGGTGGGGAACAGATAATAACTCATCAACAGAACCGACAAAATATTTCAGAAACCTGAACTTAAGCTTATGATATGTCGCTTTTTAATGCATTGTCCTATTTACTTTTGTCGAAACTGAAACAACATTACAAATCGCTTGCAAAATAATGTTTCCCGACTTAAAATTATACATGTTTAGCTTAATAAAAATTTATCTGTATTCTTTTAGATTTACTATTCATTTTATATAATATACATGGGAATTTAGTATAACGTAATTACATATATAGTATAATAAATGTATACTGCGTAAACCCAGATCTACCCTCGCTTAATGCAACGGCAAATCAGGATGTACGCTATTAACTTAACCAAAGCTACATCGTTACGACGACATCCGCATACCCGCTACAGAACATATCTACAGCTTGTTTCTTCCTTTAGATCTTACGTCTTCGACTAACATGGTCCCTTGCCCCATGTTACTTCCTTATTTGTATGTATAAGCGCGACAGGTGACCAGTCTTCCATTGGACGTGGATAAGAGTGCACAATGTGGTATAATTGTGACGTAATTTTGTTCACTGATGTACACCAAGTTTGTAGACAGGGGAAGTAAAACAAAAATGCAGAAAGAAAACTTTTATCATTTTCAAAATCGTGCATTCGTTCGCTTTTGTTGGATATGATAGGAAATCACAGGCTTATGATATTTTTCGCGTATCTGCGCCACATGCATCAGATAAGACTGATCTGTTCTGCTATGTGATTAGTAATAAAACGTACGCGCATTTGCTATCTGCATGCCCACCTCCGTATTGCAAAACATACAAAAAGCTAAATTTTGTTGCAGACAGACCTATCAATATTAATTCCATATCGGACATCCTCCTAATCAATTTTGTCGGGGTAATTCATTTTCATCAAATTCCACCTAGTATCTCATAACCTTGGGTTTCGCTTGAAGCCTCCTGTGGTGGAACAGTTTTCCATCTGTACGGAACCTGATGCCGACTCCAACATATCCGTCTCCGAAAGCATTAGTCATCTTGGTGGCCAACAATACTCTGAACAGTGTCGGTGCCCGAACACAACCCTGCTTGACACCGTTGGTTACTGGGATTGGTTCAGATGTCTCTCAATTTTCAAGCACTCGCGCATGCATGCCGTCGTGGATGTGCTGGACAATGGATATCATGTTTATTTCGGACACCCATACATGGGTATTACCTTCCATAATCCTTCTCTAATGACAGTATCAAAAGCATTTGTCAAATCAATATAGATGGAGAAAAGGTTGGCGATGTGCTTTTGGCATTTCTCTTGTAAAAACAATGTCGATAGTCCCAGGTTTTTTCCGGAGTCCTCACTGGATTTCTGGCTGGAGTCCCTGGTCAAGGTGCGCAGTGAGGCGGTTCAGAAGGATACTGGCGAGAATCTTACCTGCCATTGAAGGCAAGGATATACCCCAGTGGTTGTCGCAGGCCTGTCGGTTTCCTTTACGCTTGTACAGGTGGATTATGGAAGCATCTTTAAATTCCTAGGGAATTGTCTCTTGCTGCCACATCGATAAAAATATTTTCTATCAAAAAAACTTTCTGTCAAGGCTGTGACCCATTCCTTGTAGACTTCTACTGGGATGGCGTCTGAGCCAGGGGCTTTGCCACTGGAGAGCAGATGTATCGCTTTCTGTGTCTCAAGCATAGTTGGATGGTCATCCAGTGCTTCGTTGATGGGTAATTGAAGGAGATGGATAATAGTTTCATCGTTGATGGATGAAGGGCATTCAGGACGCTATCAAAGTATTCGGCCCATCGTTTAAGAATCTTCCCTTTGTCAGTAATTAATGTGTTCCCATCTGCACTAAGAAGGGATGATGATCCAGAGGAAGTAGGTCCATGCACTTCTTTCAGTGTATTGTCATGCCTGTCTGCGTAGCACTGGATCTCATCAGCTTTGTGGCTAAGCCATGTGTCTTGCATCTGACTCAGTTTCTACTGCACAGTCATGCGTGTATTGTTGTATTCTCTTTACTAAAGGTAGATTATGGGTTGTTGAAGTAGGTCTGATCGAGGCGGTGTTTCTCATTCAACAACTGCTTGATCTCGTTCTCATCATACCAGTCTTGGTGCTTTCTATCTGAGGGTCCAAGAATTTCCTAAGCTATGCTGTAGACCAGCTCTCTGAATGCCGCCCAGTCGGTCTCCACATTCTGATTTCTATGAGGTGTGGATTTCAAACGTTCTTCCAGGGCATCCACGAGCGACTGTTTGATACTAGTGTGTTTCAGTTTGTGATGTTCAGCCGTTTAGGAGCCTTCTTTCTCTGTGGGAGTTGTTTGGGCTGAATGCGGCTGTTGAACTTGGTGATGATGAGGCGGTGGTCTGTCCAGCAGTCAGCACCACACAAGGACTTGGTCACACGATTGTCCTTCTTCCTGACAATGACGTAGTCTATGACATGCCATTTCTTAGAGCGAGTGTCCATCCCTGATATTCGGTTACGGGTAGGGAGGCCGAAGACTGTATTGGTGATCAGCAGTTCATTCTCGGTACAAGTCTGGAGCGAGAGGGGACCATTGCTGTTACAGTGACCCACTCCGTGCTTTCCTTGCACTCCATCCCAGGCAACGCTATCAAAGCTTACTCTTGCATTGAAGTCGCCAAAAATGAAGAGTTTATCTGCCAATGGAACATCATAAATAACGGAGTGATGATTCACATAGAACTTTGCCTTCACTTCATCCGGGTTTGTCTTGGCTGGAGTGCAGCGACTGATGATAAAGTGATTTCTTCCAGAAAAGAGGGGGAGTTTCATGGTCATGAGTCTGTAATTTTCTCTCTTGGGAGGTCCAGCCACTTTGCCAATTAGTTCTCTCCTCACCAGCCTCACAGTGCTCTTCACTTCCTCTGCCGCTCCAAAAGAAAGTGAATCCGGACTCCCTTTCACATAGCTCACCTTCTCCTGCAAGTCTGGTCTCGCTTAAGACAGCAATGTCCACGTTGTATCTGGCGAGTTCCTTTCCTATTTGGGCAATTCTCCTCTGGGGTCTTTTCGCGTCGTCTCTGTCCAATAGGGTGAGCATAATCCATTTGCCAAGTGTGAGAGAAACAATCCTTATCTTTTTTGTATTTCGACCGCTTAAGTAGGGTTCCCGCCAGACATGGTAAGCTGGCTAGGGAGGTTGTGAGCAGGCAATGTTTAGGGCACCTTTTCTAGCCCCTTCCTCATGTCAAGGAGGTGAGCAGTGCATTACTGAAGAGGGCTCATGGAGCTGCCGGACTCCACTGTTGCTCCGTGTCAATGGCGAATGACGCTAATGGCCCGAGCTGCCTGCGCGCAGGTTTGCAGCTATGGCTGCCAGCGTACCCACACCTGACGCAAGACTGGGTGCTCAGTGAGTTGCTATGCTCGTGGGTTTGTTTTCTAAATTGTTTAGTACCATTTGTATCACTGGAGTTTTTCAAATTGGTAATGTGATGTGATTATGATTTTTAACGTGGCTTTAAACATTGTTCAGTCACATCGCTACGATGTCTGCAGTGTGGCAGTGTATAGTGATGTCAAGCACTCGGGCCTCATGCAGCAGTTACGTAGCATTATGTCACACCCAGTCACATTATCCAGACACCAGGCCGACCAGTCCTAACACTAACCTCTTAATACTGAGTGACAAGCGAGGCAGCTGTTAGTACCATTTTTGTAAGTCTTTGGTGTGACTCGACCGTGGATCGGACCCACGACTATTCGCATCCGAGGCGGACGCTCTAATCACTAGGCCACCGGGGCGGTCTTTTTTTCAGATTGGAATTTAGAAAATCTTCATCTAGGCCACCAAGAATGATTAAGTTTACAGAAATACCGATGGCTCGTTTTATGAAAATATAGAAGGAATCCCAGAACAAATGTTCCGATAGATAAGAATGCACAAGTTCTAGCAAATGGTTGCTGTTCTTTATATACATGCTTCAAATTGTTCAATGCGTATTGGAAAAATAATGACTTTTTGATCTGGACACGTTCTTAATGTTCCCTGTACATTAGAAATAAGAGTACTTGAAAATGGTGAGAACAAAAAAAAATTGAACCATGTAATAAAGCAGGTCTTAAACTAAGGCATTATGGGATTATTTCGTAAATTGGTCCCGTTTTTATTTTATAATCATCTTTGAATTAAGTGTTTTGTGGATGTGTAGATCTTAAAATTTATGTTAGACACGTACACCACCAGAGCTTTTAACTGTATTAGGACTAGGAAATTCAAGCACTAATACTCGCCTAGAAGAGAGAGCCAACTTTCTGAATTAGTACACACTGGGTTAAAGGCAAATAGAAAATTAAAAAGAAAATGCTTGGATGGTAACTTTTTTAAATGTAACAATCCGTTTCGTGCATATTTTTCATCTTTAAAATTACTTGATTATAGGAAATTGGAGGACATATAAATCATATGACAAAACTCCTTCGTGAAAACAAATGTAATTGAAATTCCATTTTGTTACTTGATCCCTACATACTCTTCCAAATCTTTCTCTGATATAAATATCAAATGACTTGCGTGCCTGTGGAATGAAATCATTATCCAAATGCATACCAAAATGATTACGTGTCTTATATCACACATATATGACACTAACCTTTCTTTAACCGTAGTCGGTGTCATGTGACATATTAGTATAGTGTTTTGCACCTGTAACTGTACTGCTCTTCAATGCACTACGCAAATATCGTAACTTTGATCTAAACAAATAGAAATCAAGAGACACACTAGCTGATATTGCCTCTTCCCAAGCGGAGCAGCTTACAATGTATTAGAGGCACCAAATCATTTTTATTCAGTTTACCGTATATATATATATATATATATATATATATATATATATATATATATATATATATATATATATATATATATATATATATATATATATATATATATATATATATATATACATATATATATATATACATATATATATATATATATATATATATATATATATATATATATATATATATATATATATATATATATATATATAATACTATCATGCATGTTAGAGAAATTTTACTTCGTACTCTACGGAGATTCACACCCAGGTCTGCAGGCACCAGTCCATATTTCATCATGACTAACCACATATCGCCAAAAGATGATTCTACTCAGTGTTATTTGCACTCTTGCGTAACAGACACTCGCATGGCGATCCAATAATAAATTCTCATCCATCTACACAGTCATTCCAGATTCCTATGAAAGAAATGTATTTATCTAGGATAAATATTAGAAAACTACAAATATACACTGATGATAACGGAGAATTCTATTCTACACACACACGTATGTATGCATGTATGTATGTATGTATGTATGTATGTATGTATGTATGTATGTATGTATGTATGTATGTATGTATGTATGTATGTATGTATGTATGTATGTATGTATGTATGTATGTATGTATGTATGTATGTATGTATGCATGCATGCATGCATGCATGCATACTTGCATAGTCGTACCCTAACCCAAGCACACACAGCGCAATCCTGACAATGATGGGAATACCTTACCGAAAAATATATTTTTAAACAAATTACTCCGAAATTTAATTCCAATTCTCAAACATCTGAATGTTTTTCGCTCCTGATGCAGTAGAGATATGGCATTTGGAGATAATTCTTAACAGCACGTCCAAATCAAAACCAACTAGAACATCTGGTGTCAGCGACGGATCAGTGGTTAGCATGGTGGCCTATTCAAGAATGGGATGGTGCTGTTTCGAATCCTCCTGTCTGGGTCAGCTCTCCTGGTATGTTCTTGCGCAAGGCTCTTTACTCAATACAATATCCTATATGTGTTTCCGTGTCGTAAAGTACCGAACCAAGCCAGTTCAACTAGAATAACAATGTCATACTGTCTAAACAACACTTATTTGTTTGAAGGATAAATGACAAATAAATATTCTAAGTTAGGTATGGGTGTAACAAGATAGCCGAGATGGATTTCCGATTCACAACAGAACACTTTTGATGGTGATACAAATACAATGTTTATTGATGTATGACTTGAAGGAGAAAGAATTATGATTAATAATTTACTTTATAAGATCAAAATATTGGACATATTAATATAATACGTACGAACCTAAAAATGCAACAATAAATACAAAATAACTGACCTTACACAGAACAAGGACGAAGGTAAACGATTCGCAGAAATTTCATACGATGAAAAGAATGACGTTTTACACAATAGTAAAAATTATGTTTTCACTCAAATAGTAAAAAACTGACGTATTTTGCTCAAATAGTAAAGTGATGAATTGATTGCACAGATATCATACAAAAATTTACACTTCCAAAAACCTAGATATAACAAAAAAACCCAAATTAGCCAACGGCTTAAAGATAACATCCTTAGAGTAACACAAAACACTCCCATCAATATCACACTTGGCTACCAGTCACACTGGTCAGTCAAGCGAACATCATTATAGATAGTCAACGACCACCATTCAATTCCTTGGTCAATGAAGCAATCAGCGCCCACTAATTCAGTCAGCAACGCCCGACCACCTGCTACCCGACCAGCAACACACTTCACCAGCACGGCCGCCGTACAACCAGCTCCGTTGCCTGATCAATCATCAGCTTTACCGCCGCTATGACCAGCGGCGGTACAACCTTGGTAGCACCACAACCGTCATGGTCAACTTCCATGGTCAGTTCTACAGCTGGTACACCGTCGACCCTGACCATTGTCAGCTCCACAGCTGTCATCAGTTCTGATCACCATGGATCAGCTCCACAGCTGCCACGGTCAGCTCTAATCGCAATGGTCAGCTTTATTCAGCTGAAAATACATCTAACACCGTGTACTATGCATGCACGGGTATATCGATAACACTTAATGACGTTATATACGATAAGTTATACAAATTACATTATCAGTACATCATTACAAAACAACAGGTTCAGAAGTGAACCTGTATCCGATAAGATTCCTATGGTACTAAACGTTTCTTAATAAAATGCAACTTTATATTGACAATATGAATGTATTGCTAAGTCACAGACAATGATAGAAAATATTTGCGTTGTATTACGAAAGGCAAAGCTACATTGAAAATACAAAAATAAGAGTGATGGTACGTACATATCTATAATGTTAAATCTACATAAGAAATACTATACATATGACATTAGAAAGTAACTTATATACATCTACAGCAGATGTTTAAGTCCCTAAGTTTTATTGGAGTGGTCCCTCTCAAATGTATCATAGAGGAAACCTCCTAGTTCTGAAATGTAAAGTTTTTTCTTACGTTATTCTGTTTTATTAATATGTGTGCTATTTGTATTAATTTTATATAATTTCATTTTTATGAATCTTGTTTTTACACCATTTTTCCTATTCTATTGTACAATACTCCTCAATCCGGGCTGGTCTTGGAGTTTTTTTTATTGTAAGTGAACAATGCCATAAGTAACTTACATACATCTACAGCTAAAGAAGTGCAAGTCCCTAAGTATACTGATTACTGACAAGAAATTCCGTAATATGAAGATATCACTTTACGGTTAGGCATTTATATACAGACGATGTTGTCGTACTAGATGTCAATCGGTTTTTCCCATCGAGAGCACTTCGCACGTGCGTCGGAAATGAACCGAACTCACTATTTCGAAATATTGTACAATATACATAAATTACCCTCGGGTATCATTGTACACAAGAAACGAAATCCGAATACATGTACTTAAATAATGGGATTTATAAAATTATGTGAGAATGGAGTCTTATAATATCCAATGTTAAGATTTCGACAATATCTTTTATTTATCAGATGCGTACAAAATGGCAGACCTTTACTTGTATAATTACGTCTTCTGCAGTGGAAATCAACAATTATTCTGGTAGTTTCCAGATGTGAATAATGTCAGACTATGAGATTTCATGTTATGATATAGGGTGAGAACTCTGTTGAAACAGACCACTCAAGGGAAGTCTTAATGTACTCATTACTAGCAGGTGCGTCTATACACTGGTAAATCGGCATTATTCCTTGACTGCGATAAGATTATTTGTGCTAAATTTTTCACAAACTGATGCACCGAATTTGTAGCATTATGGATACATTATCGACCTATCCTTTAAAATGATCTCTTTTCAAAAAAAGGCTATTTTTAAATTTCCATATGGTTTCATTAGATTCCATATGGGTTAATTTAGTTCTCAATTACTTAGAGTTCATTAAATTCCGTTAAGGTCTATTTATAATTTCCATTTGCAATGGCGGCACGGAAGGTTGTGGCGGGAGTAAGCATGCCCCAAGACGCCAAGCGAATTGGGTACCGTCGTGAGGGTTATTTCTGCAGCTGAAATTTTGGCAGTATTTCTCCTACACCTGGTCCAACGAGGTAAATTATTCACAAAACTTATATTGGGGGAGAAAGTCCACAAATAACAAAACAAAAAAACTTTTCTCTGTAGCAAAGCAAGGGTGCCACATAAAGCATGTCTCCATGGTGGCTCAGAAAGGGCGTTGCTTAAATCAATCTCTCGTTCCGCCAGTGTCCATTTGGGTCTCTTGATTTCTCTTTGGATTTCCATTTTGACTTCCATATCTAGTTTGGTCCATTTGTGTTATTTGGATTCATTTGGGTCTCCTTTTCAGTCCATTTCGGTTTATTGGATTCATTTGGGTCAATCGTTGCGCCCTTTAACACGTAGGCTTTCCAACACCTTTCTTTCATCATCTTAAATTAAGAGCACAACAAGTGAGAC